AACATTAACCATCCAACCTATAATTTAAATCTTAGATGAGAATTACACCAAGTTTTATAACTATGTTAGAAATTATTCAAGTACATCGAAAAATAATCCATAGAAACTATATTGGAAATCAATCCATATCAATGAAATCAGTTCTTAAATATTTTGGAATAACAAATGGCCAAATGGAGAATTTTTTCAATGAAAATAGAAGGAAAAAGAGAGAGAGAGAGAGATGTGCTAGCCAAATTAATGGCTAGAAAGAAATATTCCTACATTCCATAGGCTAGGCACATTTTAAGAAACAAGAGGACTTTGGTTTTGCAGTTCTGGACATAGCAAGAACTGCTGTCATGGCGATGTTTATCTGTTTCAAACATTTGGTCTCCATTACTCCTCTTTGGTCTCCATTTCCACCATCATGAGGCCTCCCAAAGCAATGGCCCCGGTTAGTTGCTGAAAACCTTTCTTCTCATTTCTTGGTCTACCTTTATTTTCCATTTTTTGAACGTTAAGACTGTTATTATTCAATATCATGTCACATTCTTGAGGAAGATATGCTCTTCTGATCAAATAACTTTTTTACTATGCCTTCTTCATAGATACATTACATCGCAAAACGAGGTAGGTAGCCAGGAGGAACTAGGAAGTAGTCTACAATGTCAGAGACTAAAAGTACAAAATAAGCATATAGAATATGTTGACAAGCATATGATCCTCCCTTTCATTGTTTGACAATACGCTGATCAGGGTATTTATCAGCTTCATAAATCATTCACCAAAGTGTATGTATTCAGATTAGTTTTCAGAGGTTTTAATAATTTAGCATCTTGTTCAAGATACTTCCTTTAGGCTGATTTAATTTTCAATTAAACACTTTGTAAATGAGCCTAGACTTGAAGGTTAGTGAGTTATTCTTTCAAGAATATCACTCATTTTGCTCAGAAGCTTTGGAGGTTTGCCAAGATTTTGTTGTGGCTGTCAACCTTTGACATCTTGAATGGATGCACATAATTGGTACAACTCCAGCTGCAATAGTCAATGGTTGTTGCACATTAATGGCAACCAACCTAACAATCACCTCATTTGCCATTCATGTGGGGCAACTGTCCTCTTTGCTTCTTCAACACAAGTTTGCATCTTGCAGCTCTTCCAAGCTTTCCATTCTGAGAGCATCTTTGGCCAAGTTTATAGGTACTTGCCAAATCTTTCAATCATCAGAGTAACCAAAGCACACCTTTTCTCGCACAAAAGGATCACTATAACCAGATGGTCTGCCACATCACATCTAAATAGTGCTAACGCTTGTCTCTGGAACAACATCCCCCTTCGAGCGTATCAACCATGCTCGGTCCGGAATGATTCATCAAGCCTCACATCAAGGCTTATAACACCCCCTCAAACGGATATTTCAAGTGAGACAGTTATTATCCGAGTATCTCAATATGATCACAAGCTCACCACTCTTCCAAGAGTCTACTCATCCAGGAGTTGCGTCTGCCCTCTGTTCCACCCTAGGAACCACGCCTTACTTCTCCATAAGTCTCCCACTCTTAGTCTCAAGAGTCCAGGTAGCTTTTCACCTTTAACCATGGGGGTAGCCCATAAAAGGTTGATCTATATCTGTCTTCATACTCTGAGTATTACAATGCCATTACCGAGCTCACCACCTTGACAAGAGTCAACTTGTTCCCGGAACATGCGCATGCCCTCTACTCCTTCATAGCAGTCGCGTCTTAATGCTCCACAAGTCATCCACTTATTGTCCAAGGCAAATGTCTTCTAGCTCATTGATCTTTAGCATGGGGGCAATATCCATGAAAGTCAATCCTGCATTTGTCTCTATACTCATCATAGCCCTTTCATTGGCTATTCATCTATCAACTCATACCTAGCCATCACATTGGATCTGGGGCGTTATGAACTGGGCTCTTTCCACGGCCCTCACACCTTCTCCTGAGGTGTCTCCGCTCATCGTCATGCAGCGGTTTAATCATGGGCTCATCTCGTAGCCCTCACACCTTCTCTTTAAGGTGTCTTCGCCTTTTATAGGCGGTCGCATCCTCCTTTAGCTGAGATGCTTCAAAGTGGCTCCATAAATTATCTGCCACTAATTACATAGAAAGAGAAAGTTATGGTATACTCCTCACAATCTTCCACCTCAATTTCTATGTTTGGAGCTTCTACGCCTTTTCTGCTTAACAGCTCCACCCACACTAACTCCCTTTGGTGTCTTCGCCTTTCATCATAGGCGGTCGCCTTTTATCACAGGCGTTTGCACCCCCTCAATTAGGTGCATCTGCAACAGCTCATCTTTCCATCCTTGCATGCATTGGAAAGGTCCTTGCTTGTTGCCTTTATCAAGAGCACAAGAGACTTTTGTTGTACAACTTTTTCATAGTCTCTACTTTGAGCTTCATCTGGGAACTCTTCTTCTCCTTGCACCTGTTGTCTCATTATAGTACCTCATTGGATCCTCCGGGTACTCCTACACAATCTTTGTGTGCTCTTGTGCAATTTTGGTTCTCCAAATTTCTCCTTATTCCTTACTTATGTTTGACAACAGCTCATCCTATCACAACATCTATCCAAGTTAAAATAGGGTGCCAATCTTTATCCCTTTGCTGTATTTCTCTTCCATTATCAAGGTCTTCATCAATTCTCCCCTCGAGAAATTACAGTCACCGAATCTAACTTCCTTGGAGAAATCACCACTCCATCAGATCCTTGATCATACAGAACCCAACTGTTCCTTTGTGTCGTCATCCTGCTAGTCTTCAACAGTTTCATAACAAACTGTCATATATACGAAAATAGTACCGTATGGATAATCCTTCCACTAAGCAAGTTCCCAGGAAAGATTGGAGGGGTCATAACGGTCCCGCTTAAAACTCAATCTCCTAGCCAGAACTTCTTACGCCATATCTATCCATCGTACTGTCTTTTCGTATATACAACCATTTGCTAGCTTTGTCGCGGCTTTCCTTTACAAGTGATCTGGGGTATCCTGGTTTTATACCTGATTTCTCAACATCTGGCGAGACTACCAGTGCTCAGATTCGTCAAGATTGGTCTTCTTCAAATTTCACTCTCCACCTCAAATTGTCCACATGATCGGGTGTTTAGAGTGTCCCAATTTTGCCTTCCCTCAAGACAATTAAAATTCCCCACATAACACTTCAACACATGTAATTAGGCAAACATATGTGATTTCTTCTTCTTCATCTCCATCGACCACCATGATGATCATCAGATGCCTCTTGATCGGGCAATCTCTCTTTAATAATTCATCACTGCCATTTCTGATCTCAATCTCAACAATCGGACCGTACCATTGCATCCGAAATGATCAAATTAGCTGGAAACAAGTCTGAAATCGTCCAAATCGCACTTCAGACGGCTAAGATTTGATCAAAACAATTCTGGCTTGATAAACGGCCCAGATTCAATCTCAGAACCGGTTGCACGTAGACTCCGCCACATAGAATCCTGTCCCTCGGCTCGCGGCTGGTGACGTGGTAGTGGGTCCCACAATGATGACGTGGCTAATGACTGGTGCTGACATGGCAGAGCTGACGTGTCCGCTGACGTGTTCGGTTGACTGGTCGGAGTGCTGATATGTCAGGTGACGTGACTGATGACTGTGCAGAACTGCTGACGTGGCTGATGACATGGACAGTCACCCTCGCCAGCACGTGCGGCGGTTTCCGACTTTCGATTTCGACGCGGTTTTCACCAGTGGCTTCGTCTCTTCCTCCTCTACATAGTGGTATGATCAAAACACAATTTTGACAGCTTTCATTTTTGAGCAAAATCAAACACCACTTTGAACCATGTGCTCTGATACCAATTGTTAGGAATTCCGACCGGTGATGTACTGATATTTGCTAATAGGAGGCCAAGCATACTGACACAATATTTAACGTGGTTCGGCAAAATCACCTACATCCACGGGAGAACCATTGCATTATGTAGGGAGAGAATAAGATTTACAACAATAAAGGAGGAGGAATCATCCCCTCTTTGAGCAACTCTCAACCTCACTCTATTTCTCTCTTTTTAGTGCTGAATGACAGCTCACTCTCTCCTATATTTCTCACATCTTTGGCTCTTTTTCTTCTCTCTTTGCTCTCTTACATATGCCTCTATTTATAGGCATTCATGGAGGCTATTCTTGGTTTGTTGCCACCAACTCTAGCTCATTCAACAATTATGGTTGCCAACCTTTGACATCTTGGATGAGTGCACATAGTTGGTACAACTCCAGCTATAATAGTCAATGGTTATTGCACATTAATGGCAACCAAACTAACAGAATGAAGTAGCTACAAGAGGATCAAGATCAAGTTGCCGAGGCAACATCTGAAACATGATTTCTCTCCCCCTCTGTAATGTCCTTGTCATACAAAGTTCTTTTTGGTTCGATAGTTGATGCACATCCTCTCTCAATTCAGCAGCCTGTGTTGAAGGAAAAATTAATTGTGGTATAAAAACAAAAAACAAAAATAAAGTTAAAAACTCAAGATCGAAAAAAAATATATTTTTATTAAGTGTTACTCTTAGAACTTTTTTATTTATTGTTTTTTTTTATGTTGCTTAATAATCTTGAATAATTTTTTTTATATAGTTATAAAATTCTAGACAATTAAAAACTTAAACTAATACAAAAAATCTTAATCTGAACATAAATTATATTATGTCAATTGAATCGATCGACTGTTTCTAAACCTATCAACTAATTCAACTTATTCTAGTCAATTGCTCTGTTTTTACTAGTCAATCTATTTTCAATTAACAGTTTCAACTAATTTCTAGAAATCAGTTTATTTTTAATAGTCTGCCTGTTCTTTGAACAAACCTCCTTGCATAGAGAAAATTTCCTATGGTGTTACTGTTATTGGAGTGTAACAGGCATCAAGACAGTGACGATGATGGCCAAAATGATGAGAGTAATTGGATACAAACATATTTTTATATGATACAATATTGTCCCTTTTCTTTTGGCTGGCAGGATTCGTACAATCGTGGCCAAGAGCATCCATTCTTTGCTTGTCTGTTAAGAGGTAATGAAAGTGGCAGCCGAGAATTTCTCGTTCAACATCAGATATTGGAGATTTGAGAAGTAAATTTTTTTCAGATATCTCTGGAACGTCCAAGGACTTGCCAATAAAGGATTCTGTCTCAGACATTCTTGAACCCTTCGAACAGACTGCATTTGGGACATTGTGGAAGATTCCTACATCAACCACTTTCGAATTCCAAAGTTCTCAATTTGATTCCAGCGTTGATTCAGGCGGTACAAATGATGTAGTGAAAGCATCCAGTCCCGATACCTTTGAAACAACTGAAGCACACCAAAGTGTTCCTGTCCTAGCAAGACCTATAGTTGAAAAATGATTTGTTCTGAAATATAGGAAATCGAACCTGTCAAAGATTCCGCCTCCTCAGTCAGCCGCATCATTTTATAATGGATATTCCCCACAATTTGAAATTTTGGAATCATGTGACAGCACTATGAGGCTAAATTTATACTTGAAAGCTAGAAAGAATGATGTGAGTGGTGGTGTTCCGGGAAAATTCTTGCATGCTGTAATTGGCCAGGATGTTTCAGGTAATTTCCTTTGTTCTACTCTGAAGACAATCTTTATTAACCTCTTCAATTCTTGACCTTTTTTCTCCCAGAGCCCTGTCTTTTACTTGTCATTGGCTTTTAAGATTATGCACTATTCTTCTGCATACACGGAGATCTTTGAGTTAACTTGATCTCTTCCTTCTAATTGCTTGAAGCTCGGGTTTGGACAATTCTAAGCTATTGTAAAGAGCATGTCATTACGATTACAATCCAACTTTCGTTTTCTTTTGTTTATAGATGTTGGATCCTTAGCTTCAACCATCATGTATGCTTTCTACTTGAACGAAACACTCGAAAGTGACGAGTTCTGCACTGTACCTATCATTAATATGAAGAGGGAAGACCTAAGTTCTCATGCAGAACTAAAATGTTTGCTGGATTCATGTCATTTTGATGAGTCATCCTTAATCCTTGTAGATGAGGTATTCTTTGTGTCGATTACATTGCTTAATTAAATATATGTTTCCTCATTTTCCCATTCTTCAATATTATCCTCTAGTACTGCAGAATCAAGCTTTTAGTTGACTGGCTGGTTACATTGAGCAGATTGATCTTTCATATTATGATCTGTTTGGGTATCTCAAGTTAGATCTACGGAATGGACACAAGCTCCAAACAAGACAAGTGGTAGTGATTCTTTGGAAAAGCTTTATTATTATTATTGTTATTATTGTTATTATTATTATAACGGCCATTGGTAAATAAGAAAGATAATTATTTCTCTTCCTTCTCTTGAACAGACACTAAAGGAAGCGGTCGTTGAAGTGTTCAAATGCAGAAAAGCGCATTTTGTGAGCTCGGGGGTTAATTTCTTGACATTTCTCTTCTTTCCAAGGTTTTCATAAAATGAAATGGCTAACATGCCTTTCTTTCAGTTTAACAGGGTGAATCTGTGTATCTTTGGGTTGAGAATGTTACTCTTGGTCAGGTATGATGCGGGAAACTATGCATTTGCATTGCTTTTTGTTGCGGAGATGACTGATGAGTACCGAATCTGACTGCGTCAGTTTCATACAATATGAGAACTTGTTTTCTTTTCTAGTAAACTTTCAAGTCTTTGTTTCTACTATATTTCTTCTTGTCTTCCACTCCAATTCACATTTGAAGATTGAATCTTATTATCTTTATTAGAATATTATCATTTTTATTTATTTATTATAAAATTAAACACAAAATAATTTAGATAAATTTCAAACCTAAAGAGTTTTTATTTCAGTAGATGCATTATAAAATGATATAAATCATATCTTGAATTTTATCTAAAAACTTAAATTATTGAGTTGAAATAATTTTTTGACACCTTCTATAATAAAGATTCTTTAAATTTAAAATTTAAACAGGCTCATATTATTTCATACTTAATTTTTATTAAATAAATAAAAATAATAAAATTTAAACATATAACCACTTAATTATTAATATTTTGATATTATATTAAACAACTATATCAACCCAATAATTTAAGTTTGTCATTGCTTCTTCGAATGTCAAGTTTGAGTTTTGCTTTCTTTTCCATCCTAGTGCAGAGTCTATTTAATTAGTCTACTGGCTATATAAACCTGGTGCTTAAATTCAGATTCTCATTCTCTTGCATTATAATAACCTCAATGCAAACTACATTGCTTCTAATATGATATTTCATGCTTGCATTAAATATATTAAATTTAATTATTATTTTATTTATGAAAAAATCATATTTGAAAGCCATCATATTTACTTTATCCATTTAATAGATCAACTTGTAAATTTTCTTATTAAGCCTCTTCATAAGCATCGTCCTGGTTTTTTTGCTTACAAATTTATTTGTGCAGGTCTGCTAAGTTTGAGGGAGGATATTAAAGAGATTTTGTGTATTTGGTCAAAATTATTTGTGTAACTAAAGATGAGTTTTGATTCTTTGCAATTATAGTCTTTAATGTTGGTTATAACTTCATGTAACAGTCAAACAGCCAAACAAATCTCCAATATATAGATGTACATTGTAAACAAATAATATGTAAGGAAAATCATTTTCTACATATCTTGAGACCATCTAACAGTTATCACTCTCAACAAGTGTTTGAATAAGCTATTGCGTCTGTGCATGACTGCTCATGCTGTACCCTTATTGCTAACAAGTTGTTCTTGACTTCACCTGAGCTATTGGCTAGGATAGGATTCAGCAGACTAATGGTACCTACTGCTTCTAGTCCCAGATAATTTCATTTTCTTTTATTTGTTTATTAAAAAATAATTTAAAAAATAAATAAATTTCAAAAAAATAAATTATTTTTTGATATTTGATAGTATAATTAAAAATAAATTGAAAAATATTTTTGAATATTTGATTATATCATGAAAAATAAGTTGGAAAATAACTTATTAATCTTTATTTTTCTGAAGTTTATTAAAATAACAAGAAACAAATCTTAAAAATTAAAAAGTTAAATATAAATAAAATTAAAAAAAAATAATTTTATAAATTATATCAAATAAAATAAATAATAATTAAAATAATAGAGTTCAAATCTAAAAATAAAAAAAAATAAAAGATGAAGAAATTGATAATAATATTAATATTTCATAAATTATTTTAAACAAAATAAGTAATAATCAAAAGAATGAGGATCGAATTTGATAAATAAAAAATTTCAATAAAAAAAATAATAAGAAAAAAGCAAATAACAATTATAAAAATGAGAATCAAAGTTAATATAAAAATTAAATTTTAAGAGATGAAATTAAATAATAAATATTCAAAATAAAATACATATAGAAATCAAAAGTTTGAGGACCAACTTTGATATAATCATTAAATAATGTAACATTTCTATATTTTTACAACTTCCGGAAAGTGTTTTTCACCCAAATTTTCCAAGAAAATGTTTTCGTGGAAACCATACCAAAAAAATTTTTAATTGAAAAGTATTTTTCATTGATTAATTATTTTAATGACAAATAAATATAAAAAAGTTTGGAAAGTGATTTTTGAAAATCATTTTTTGAGAAACAAACATATCATATCGTTAGCTTCTTTTGTTTTCCTGTTCAATCATGATCTACTAATTATACCATTTTCTTTATATATTTCTCAAATTTCTCTTTTGGTTTCTTCACATATATGAGTTGAATTTAATCAACTTCGTGGACAATACTTTCCTGTTCTTTTCAATTCCATTTATTTTCTTTACTTTCTGGTGGACAAAAGTTATGACTTGGACAAACATACAAGCGTTTCAATTCAATCTTGATTTGGAACCAAATTTCTCTTCTTAATCTGGTTGATTTTCGATCAGTTAGCTGGCATCCTAATGGACACTGGAAATCTTACTAGTCCTCGTTGCACAACGAAAGACAAGTACATAGCTACTTTGTTACTCAATGGTGCTGGTCGCTTTGGATCCAATGGTTTTTACCAGTTAAGTGAGTCTCTTTTGGTCTGGAACTTCTGTTTTTTATACAAAGTTTGCTGCAATTCAAAGCTTGTGTACATGCAGATTGTTCTCTAATCTTTGAGCTAAACTCTTGCTTTTGCAGTGAGATACAAACTGTATGATATCTCTGATCTTAAAGCAGTCGACATATTGCGCAAGGATTTTAACAAGTGGACAAGAGGAGGTCTGGACTTTCACTATTCCCCATACCTGTCATTTAATATGCTACTGATTCATTGCAGTGCCAGAACAAGTATTCATTATTGGTCTGAGACATTAGAGAGAGCAGCAGTTAGTGTGCTTATGCATATTTTTTTCCTGTTCTGCAATTGCAGTTGAAGATCCTGAATATTTTTTTTTTCCAAAGCATAGATTTCAGAAGTGGTTGTAGAAATCTCAACTTCTAATGATCCACGTTCATCTAGGACCACCCTTTGCAAATCTGCTTTCACCTTTTCTTTTTCCTCAACCTGCTTTGCGAGTTCAGTTTTCTTCTTGCGAATGTCCAGCATGTGCCTGCCATAGAATTTAACCCAATTGGCGATATCCGCAGCATCAGCTCGAGACCTGATAGTGAGACCCGTCCCAACAGAATTGACTTTCATCGACAAGCCCTGAAGTTTCTCAAATTCTTAAGCATCCACATGATCCTCAGCTTTCATATTAAGCAACTCACTTTACTTTAGAGATTTGGGCATTAGAAGTCGTCTGTGAGGAGGAACTCACTCATTGCTCTACCTGAGCTTCTGTAGGCTTTTTCTGCTTCATATAGTCGCATGGCTTAAGCGAAGGTTTGTTTCAGCCATAACTACAGGCTAAGGGACAGTTTCCTTCGATATTTCTTCTTGGTTGCCTGGGTGCATTACATGGGCAGTGACAGCCAGAGCAGAAGTTCCTTGCAAAAATTCTTCAGGAGTCTTTTGAAGGGTTCCCTCAGGTTCGTGATGATGATTTTCTTGAATAATCTCTCCTCAGTTCTCCTGATTGTCGGTTTCCTTATCTCGGTGCTCTGTCCCCTCCTGAGCACTGCCTTGAGGAATGTCTTGCTACATCTGGAATTGATCAAATAAATATTAGGAATATATTGCCTTTTCTACTTCTTCTTTTTCTGTGCTAGATAGGGTTTCCTGTTCATCATTTTGAGTCCACATTTTGTCAGTGCCAGTACGTTGGGAGCAGCTATTGCTTAATTCCTCAACCAGTTAGGTGTCTGTAAAGCAATTGAAGACTACGCTTGGTAAATCTTGTTATTGACCAAAACAAGAAACAAACACCAGGTGAGAAAGAGATAAGCCTATAGCAAAGTAAAACAAGTGCAAGACTTACCTCTGATTCGGCACCAATTGCTGCAGTAGTCAATGTCAATGTAGTCATATTGGAACAGTTGCACATTTAACACCTGATGCAGGACTGAAGCAGACAAGGGTCTGCAACTCTTCTAGCGACAATTCCTCAGGATAAGGGACCATGGTCTCCTTTCAGTGCACTTGGCTTAACAATCTGCCCAAAAGTTTCCATTGACCGAGGAGCTTCTGCTATTCCGAGATATTGTAGCTGTGGAAGACAGACCTGCAGCAATGACGGATATTTAAAAGGTTCCAGGATATCAAAACTCAATTATGCTAGGTGTTATCACAATCCCATATCAGATGTGTACTGAATTTATAGTCAAAGTTTCTAACTCGTGACACATCTTGTGTGTTCCAAAACTGTGAGTCAACGTAATTAAAGCAGACAATACCTCACATGGATTGGACCAATCCTCACATCAGGCGTGAGAGCTCGTCCTGATGAGCTTATTGAATACATAGTCATAAGACCGATTCGACCACCCAGTCCAAGGCCCGAATCGTGGATCAACCCGAGGCAATATAAGTGTTTTTCTTGACTTAACTCGGGCTAAGCCTCAAGTCAACCCGTCAGATCGCATCTTGTAACTTTGCTAAGTGTACAATATACAAATGATTGTCAGTAGATGAGCTAACTAGCAGTGGGAGGATGGGAGCCACGAAGAACAATTATCGTTGCTCATGAGAGAGATCAATGTTGGATGAAGCTGACAATATCAAAGAATTAGCACAGCTGGTATTCATAGGCAATGAAGCTGGTTGAATATGTTCTTACACATATTAGTTTCTTTTTTCAGAAAAAAACAGAGCAAATCATCTAGTGGTGGACTACCGAATCAAATCTTGCTATATCTTTCAAGGAAGGAAGGAAGTGGTTAAGGAACGAGTATGATAATCTACTATACTGAAGATTCAGTAGCAGACGTCCCAGTTCAACTATATGTAGGTTCCATATGATAGCAAGAGATTCATGCTGTGCAACCGGCTTTTCATGTATTATCAAGAATAAATCCAAACTACACTTAAAACGCAAGGTGTGCATCGTAGAAGTTGCATGGCAGAAGCACCATGGATTCATGCCCGAAACTCACTATCATATGGATTCATACCCGACCGTCTTTTAAGGTAAGTGTTGCTATGGATTTAAAATTCTACTATATATTTTGTTCTAAAAATACAATTCTTAATTAAAAAACCTCATGATATGGGAAACTTACAATTTCTTAAACTTTCAACTCTTAATTAATCGATG